ATACCTACTTTCTTCCTTTTTGCATTTCTTCTCATTATCTGCTTATACGCCTTTACGGCACTAGTTTAAATTAAATTGGGATGAACATTTTCTCATATAAATTTTTAAATACTGTACATATTTCTGTAGCTCTGACGGCAAAATAAACGCTTTAATAGCATTATGATTCATTTGTTTTAGTTCTAATAAATTTCATAGCGCTGAAGAGATATTTGAGGAAGTGATAAAATAAAAATTGAATGATTAACTTTATCAGAATGTCTGATAGAAAAACTGCAAAATAAATGCGTTAGTATGAGGGTATTTTTTTTTAATTTTAGCTTATTTTGCTACAATATTTCTTTGAACTTGGTTTTGCTCTACTCCTTACATGATGTTAAGCATATCTTAAATGTGCATTATATAGGATCTCTAACAATCACAACAATATTTTTGTCTTATGATAAACTTTGCGGTAGCTCTCATCGAAAATATGAGTGTTAAATTGTTCACAAAAAGATCACAGGTATACATGAGAATCAATATACAAAAATATTCACTGACAGTTAGGGCAGTGTCAAATTGATAAGAATGATATCCTCTGGATAGAAAACAGAATAATAAGAGAATATAAGAGCACAAGAAAGAATGAACATTGCAAAATTCCTTGCTCGATTGTTGCTGCAGACGATCTTCCGTTACAATAATCAGCATAGCAAGTACATACCGTAATATAGCTCTCATCGCTTAATTCTGTCGGTAATTTGAATAGCTCACGCTTTCTAAAGCATATTCAACTTATTGGTTTTGAATTAATTTAGGAAAATTTAATGGAAAAAAGGAGAGGAAATGAAAACCTATATTGACGACATGAATCACGATGCATCCATCTGTACCACGTGATGATTGTTTGATTGAAACCATTATAGAGAAGTTCATCAAGGCATCCACGTATATGACCTCTTATTCGAACTCCTACAAGCTGTTCATCTACAATAAAATTTACTCTGATCGTTTATATGATTGCAAAAATTTAGCTTAAAATTGGCTATCAAGAGAAAGTGAGATGTTTGAGAAATTTTTGCGCATATTGCTTCTCTTCTTCTTGCAGACAATCTTCATGTTAAAATTCTATTCCAGTCTTAGAAAATTATTCTGTTCTGTTATGTATTGATGTAATTAAAAGTTCAACCATATATGATAATTGATAATTTGATTTGGAAAAAAGATACCAGCTACAGCCGGTTCCTCCCACATTCGTATGCAAATTGTTGGACAAAAAGTGAATGGAACAATTTGTGGGTCAAGATTGTTACCGTTACATAAATCTGTGAAATTTTTTGGCTTCTTGTAAATTGATGAAAGAGCAGGCCAAACTGCTTCATACAGTCGTGACATACAAGAGAAACAGCGTGCTGTATCTGAAATTTCGAATTTAATGGATGGATTTTGAAATTTCATAATTTCATGATGGAGGATTATTTTAACAATAAAGATAGCTTTAGTGACAATGATAATTGTTGTTTGATTAGAGAAGCACTTGCAACATGCAATAATTACACAATCATATATGACTCAAATTCAAAGAACTGAAATGAAAATGCGGAAAGTAATATTTCTGAATTCGAATAATCGGATTATTTTCCTCAATAATTTTGTCTCTATCAATGTACACACTATAAATGAACGATTGTTACTTTCTTCGATACAATTTTATCAAAAATATTTTGAAAATTTTGATATCTAGAAAAATTAGAGTAACAAGAAATTAATCGTATAATTTGACTAAATTTAAATCAATTGAAAATTCTAAAATAAATATGAAATCATATAAAATTTTTCTATATTGTGTAAGAATAATGGCAACAAAAAATTGATCATTTTATGTGATAAATCAATCAATCGTAGTTCTATTTTTTTGTAGCATGGAATCAAAAAAAAAAAAAAAATTTACCACTATTATGAAACCGATTGTAGATATTGCTATTACTGGAAATATCAATATTAAAATGATCAAAATATGCTAGATGAAATGATTTAGCGAAGTGCACATTTTTGCCATCGGCATTTTCCTGATCCGGAAATGTTGCTGTATAGTTTGGTAGGATAGTAGTGGTGTTGATAATGATGTAAAATAATAGTGATACCGATAGTGATATTGTAGTCGTTATGAAGTGCAAACACATCAGAACATCGCTTAGTAATATAACAGTAAGCAGTTGGTCGATTATCAATAAATGAGGTAAATTAGATGAAGAATGAAGTGGTGGAATTGAGAATCTGAGAGAGATATTAGTGATAGTATTGTTGAATCTAATTAAGTTATTAAGTGACAAATAATTAAATACTGTAATTTGAAATTACTTCTGATATTAATTTGTCGATCAAAAATAATTTCAGATAATAGATATATGATTTATCGTAACTAAACAAAAATTTAGCATACTAATGTACCTACCGATGATAACGTATAATTAGCAGAGCGATATTTTGTCAAAAAGAAAGGTTAGTTATTTTGTCTAGAAATTATTATGATATTATGATTTTTAGTATCATATTTTTTAATCAATTAACCAATATGTTATCAGCGGTCATTTTTTGTTAGCAAAGATCTTTGATATTTGTTCCTTCCTTTTAATTCTATTTGTTAGCAATCAGGCAATGTTATTGAAGAAGGATGATTAGATTGAAAATAAGGCAAACTAATTTAATTTGTCAATGAAATGAGTAAGAGATAAGATAAAACAATACCGAATTACGATATTAGCCCCGGTCCAGCATTCATATTCAATTGGCAATATTGAAATTGATTGAACGCAATTAATTATTAATTCCCATTTTACAAGAAATGAATGTTTGTTTGTTACGAGAATAACGGAAAGAATAATTGAAGAGAAATGTAAAAATTTTAATAAATATACCGGTGAAGTTTGATGAAAATGAATAGATGGTAAGAGAGATAAATCCTTCTTCATAACTCAGATTTAAACAATAAAATTCATTGATTGAATGAATAAGTCTTAAAAGATCGATTTCCTTAGATGGTTTTTTTTATTAGTTAATGCATTCATCAATTTAAGTGTCTTCAAATCCCTGACCATACTATTTTCAATTTATTTTATTTGTCCCACAAGTTTAATCTGCTCAAGTGATATAAATCGCTCATAGATGCTAAAAAAAGAATAATTTGTTGAAATGAAAACTGTTTTGCATATGATTAGTGCATCAATTTATGCACTTAATATAAATTTAAATTAAATCTGAACTAAAATTAAGTCAAGATTGCCACGAAATCCTATAGAAGAAATTCTAATAGCAAAGCTATTAGAACAGTAATTTTGACTAAAAAAAAATTTTTCCATATAGCAATTAATTAATTACGATGTATAACATATCGTGATTGAAAAATAATTTATAACAAATGCTAATGTCGTTGATGTTTGTCATTTGACAAAAATGTATGAATTAAAAAGAAGACAACAACAAAAATGGGGCTTAAAACTAAGGAATTTGAAATCAAATATTATCAAAAATTTTAGAAAGCGAAACTAAAAAGCTTAAGGTCATATATTATCGAAAAAATTTTGGAAAGCATTTTGTTGAATATCAAATGTGTTACGAAGAATATTCAAATTGATTAGTAAAAAAGCATCAAAAATACTGATATGTTATGAATATAAATGAAAATGTAAACTTTTCATTTCTTTTACATAATTACATTCACTGATAGAGTAAATCATATGGAAAAGGAAAAGCACATAAAAATCAGCTTGTTTTCCATTTTTGAAAATATAAGAAATAAATCACAAAGGTTAAAGGTTAGGAGGAAAAGAGAAAGAAAAGGAAAAAAATAAAAAAATTATCACTCAATCATATTGCAATATTTGAAATGATTTTTAAATCAAACACAAAAATGTGTTTGAATGCTTTTATTTTCTCTGATTATTTTGTAAAAAATTAAAATTGATGAAATGATGAAATTTCGATGAATGTAAATTATCAATTACAAGATGCTAAATTATTTTTGCTAGGAAGGCTTTTAATTATGCTGCAAATTTATCAATCATTAAAGATATTATCTATTTTGTTCCATTAAATTGTTTTTACACATTTCCAAGGAAATCTTTCTCATTTGTTTGCTAATTTTCACACCAAATAAGGAATTGTAATTTGATGATATTTTGTGCTTTCACATTTCGCTTTATTATAGCATTTGCTTGCTGCAAGCAATTTCCCATAATTTCTGTGAAAGAAGAAAAGAGAGAAAGAAAGAAAAGAGCTATGCTTCTTTCAGGAATGGATATTAACCGGATTGATCTGTCTCTCTAAAAATATATTTATATTTATACAGGGAGAAAGACAGAGAGAGAGGGAGGAAGGGAGAGAGCAGTGTTTCTCTTTGTTTATATAATATGCGAATTTTATGAAATTCGACTTAGCTAATACTTGCATGAGAGTAATAATGGCTTTGTGGTGAATGAGAAGTTCTCAAAAAGTTTTTGGAATCCAAACGTGGGAATGTTTATTGCATTGTATTAATGGTTTTGAAGGAATATTTGCATAACCTTCTAACTAATTTTTATAGATATGATGTAAATATTTACATCATATCTATAAAAATTGATAGATATGATGTAAATATTTACAAAAATATTTCCATAAAAGAGAAAACTGTTAAATTATTTGATAAAAAAATGAAATTATGAGAAGTAAAATTGTATAAATTATTCGCTTTTCGTGCGCTATGAATTTCTTAAATTTCACTTCATATCGCTTATAATAAGCATTAGTTTGTTGAATTCATCAGAAGCCGAAAGCTAACTGCCACATTGTTGAGATGATAGATAATATCATCAAATGGAGGATAAAGCTATAAAATAAACTTTTCGATTTAATTAGTAAATTTAAATAGATTAGTAAGAATAGCTGAATTAATCGAAGAGGAAAGTTTCGAAAAAAAACTTTTTAAAAGAATTTGAAAGAAATATGAGGAAAGTCTGCAGCAATCCTAAAAATAACTCTCATAGTTTTCTTTGAACTAAACAAAATAATTGTTCGAATCTCTTTTACATTATAATTTAAAGAAGCAAATTTGAAATTTAGGACTGCAAATAACTTAGGCTTACATTTCCGAGTAATGAGTAAGTACGTTATTGATTACTTCAATATAAACAAGTGCTTAATTTTAATATTTCAAAAACTATCCTCTGCTCGTTTTTGTTTCATTAATTTAGAGAAAGATTTTCTTTTTTTTGCTTAGATTAAAAGAGTATTATGAATTGCATAAGGATTAGCTAGCTTTTCAGCTATTTAATGATTTTTTGTGGATGAGTGTATCTGCATGGTACCAGAAATATTAGTAACCAGGTATGGTACCAGAAATATTGATAATTAGTGATGATATCTATAATTAAATCT